ATGTTGCTCAGCCTTTAGCTTGAATCCCAGTTCTCACTGTTTTTATTTTAACAATTAGAATTCATGTTTAATTTGTTAGACATCAGTTTTTCAGTAAATGCTTTCTGCTTTCTAAGCAGTTTGTCTATACCTTTTTAAAAGTGACTCTATCCTGTTTTGATTTTTTTTTTTTTTACATAATTTGCCTTAGGTTTTTTTTTTTAGCTTTGGGGATTCAGTTTTAAAATTGTAAGGAATTTGTGTTTTTTATTTACCTCCATACTTTTAGTGTTAGTCAGATTCAGAGGTGGTTAGAAACTAGTTACATTTTGCTATATTTACGTGAACAAACTCTAGAAGAAAAATTACTTTTCTGGAGTACTTGTACTTTACTGTACTCTTTAGTTTTACTAAAGGTATAGTGCAGGATTTTTGCGAATTTTTGAAAAGACCCGCCCTCTCCACTTTAAAAAAAAAAATGCACATGCACAACCCTGTACCCGCTCCTGAGAGGGATTTAGACAACTTTTATTGGAATTTTGTAAACATATAGTGTATATTCAAAAAAATTAAATTTAATACAGCTTTTCAGAGTCCTATTGCAAGGGTGTGAGGGCATGCACGAGCCCATTTCTCCTTGTGCATACCCTGTTTAAAAGTTGCAGTTTGCATCGATCATACAAGCTTACTTTCCAAAAGAAGATTTGCTATTTTTCCACTATTTCAGACTCACCGCCAGTAAGTGAAAATGGGGATACATAAACATATCACCAGAATGATTGACAATTAGGAGGACCACTTATTTTTATGATCCACCCAGATAAAGAACATCCTCTACTACACCTTTAAGATATATTCTTGTCAGTATAATAGTAACCTTAGTTGATTAAAATGTCTGCCCTACCCTCCACAATAACTTGAGATTTTTGTAGATTAAGTGAAAATACATTAGATATTGTAACCAGAGGTTGTTTCTCCTTTGTTTGCATATATACAAAACCTACTGTTAGGATTGCTTTTATAAGTTTGTGCTAAAAAAAAAATGGTTTGGAAAAGTTTTTCTTCTACCCAAATATACTATTTCATAATAATGCTACATACTTGTATTTTAATTTTACTTTAAAATACTAAAGTTTGCAAAAAACTCTAAATCTAATTACATCATTTTTAAATGAGATATTAGGAACCAAAATTACTCTGTTATGTATCTATATAACTAAGAACTTCTTTACTTTTACTTGAATAATTTCTTGCATGACAACTTTCTACTTGTAACAGAGTAAAAAAACATTAAAGTAGTGCTACTCTTACTTGATTAAAATTTTTGGATATCTATCTATTCACCTCTTGTCAGCATTTATCTTATGATTCATTTTTATTTTCTTTAAGATGTAACAAAACATGACTGTTTAAGTTGTTTTAATGTTTGCTTCCCTGGTAGTAAAACTTAAGGAAACATTCTGTTTTTTTATTTTTACCTAAAATGACCATTTCCCCATGATAGTCACCTCTTAGCATTTAGCTTTGGGTTAAACCTTTAGCTTTTTGTACTACCAAATATTTAGATTTCTTGATCTCTTTTTTCATTTTAAAATTTAATAAAACCTAAATATAAATGGTTAATCAATGAAAAGGTTCTGCTATTCTGTTCCTGTTTTTTTTTTTTTTTTTATGAAAAGGTTCTGCTATTCTGTTCCTGGATTTTTTTCCCCCCGTAAATGTTGTTGTCATTCAAGATCTGAAAAGTTTTTTTTTTACTTTTTGTTTTGTCTTTTTTTCTTTCCATTTCTCAGCCCATAACAACTGGAGGGGTGAGCTACCATGACCAGCCCTGGCATAAGGAATGCTTTCTTTGTATTGGCTGCAAAATGCAGCTTGCTGGCAAGAGATTCACCTCTCGAGATGATGTCACCTACTGCCTTGAGTGCTTCTGCAACTTGTTTGCAAAGAAATGTGCCTACTGCACCGACCCAATAAGCGGTAAGTTGATCTTACACAATTCTTTTGATCCAGTTTGGAATAAAAAAGTTTAAAAAAACTATACTTTTTAAGTTCCTGCTAGACCCTCATAACTGTCTCAGAAAAAAGTATAGTTTTCTTTAAATAACATGTGTTCATCATTTTTTGTCATTGAAGGACCTGAAAATATTAACCAAAGCCTCTTTCAAAGTGATATTTGGTTAGATTTTAACACCACCAAGCTGAAATGCATATTCTCAAGATCATATGCTTCCCTCGGTACCCTAGTGTGTCCAGTCACCATCAATTACAGACTTATTGCATTACAAAAATCATGAGACTCCGCTTCTATGTTTTAACTTAAGGTCTCGGTGGCAGCAAGTATATTTCTTTTGAGGATCGCCAGTGGCACAACAATTGTTTCAACTGCCGAAAATGCAGCATGTCGCTGGTTGGTCGAGGCTTCCTCACGTTCGAGGAGGACATCCTCTGTCCCGACTGTGGTAAAGACATCTGAGGATCTCAGTGGAATAGACAGAAGAGTCAAACCAGCTTAACGGAGACAACTCTGCAGCAAGTTTAAAATATGTCAGTTGTTATATTATTTTTCATTTTGCATAATATATACTTCCACGCTGTCTTTCTTTGTTTTGTTTTGAAAGAAAATCTGCAAAACTTGTGAAACTTTGTCTTAAAGAACTCTGGAGTGTAAGTCTTTGTGGCCTAATTACTGCTAAGTTAAACCAAATAACAGCATTAAGATACTTTTAAAGGATAGAAATCTAATAATTGTTCCTACTAATGCTTTTTTCTAACCATTTTAGATCGACTAAAATGTATAACTACAAGTAAAGCAAAGTTTGATCAGTAGTTATTCCTGGATTTCAGTCAAATTAAAAGCCTGTTATCAGTTATTTGGATCTGAAAGAAACATTTTTTTTTTTTTACTTTAGTTTGATAACCTGTCGTTATGTTGTCTTTATTTTTTTTATGAACTATTTGTTCAGTTTTTTCACATACTGGCAGATTATGGTTAATTATTGTCATCTGTTTAAACTAAATCAAGCTCAGTGTTTCCTGATGTCTAATAATTTCACTTGAATAAGTAGCATATATGAAATAAAAGCATTAGGTTGTCAAAGTAAAACTACATCTCAGCTGATTACTTTCGTCTGTCTGTCTGTGTTAAGGATAACGTGAAAAGTTAAGAAGGAATTTTAATTAATTTCATTAAATTTTGGTGCTGATCCAAATCATAATCTGGATTCAGGATTTTTTTTTTCTTTTTTTATGATTCTCTAACGTTGTGAGATAGGGATACTTGGCGGAACACGCAGTTCCCCACTAAACCAGAGGGTGGCAGCAGTAACTATTGACATCCTCGGCATAGGACTCAAAAAGTCTGTAGGTGTTTTACTGAAGACAAAAAAACAAGAAATAGGAACATTGTTGCTTTGTTAGCAAGATCAACTGAAAACTTATGAAAGGATTTTATGGATATTTTTTTACCAGAGGTGCTCCTCGTGCCAAGGAACGATACATTTAAATTTGGTAAGGATTCCGATCATGTGCTAATTTCAGCTTTAGGTGTAAGTCTCAGTTTGGGGTAAAATTTCCTCCTTGGTGCAGATCTCTTCTATTTTCTGTATGTATTTGTTGGTTCTTTACCAGCCTTAAAAAAAATTCTATGCTATAGGCAATGATATTCAACCTAGAGATGCTAACTTCTTTGTTTGTAGTTTGTTGCGGAGCAGTATAAGGCATAAAAAAGGGGGAAAAAATAAAAATGGTACTGATGCCCTAAACAAATCTTGGATGATTCCATGTTGTTTCTTCTATGTTTACGTCTATGTTGTTTACATGTTCAGCCAGTAGAGAGTGGGTACCCCTCAATATAATAAAAAACAAAAAAATACTTGTAGACTGTTGCAACTCCTAGCTGCAGATTTGATGCTATGGTAAATGATCATTTATCATTTATTTTAAGAAACTGGACAAAAGGGAACAAAATACGAATTAAATCTTTCAACGTTCTATTAAAAGAAAATTCAGTAAAAGACCTTAAAATGATTTGAAAGTTGTAATCTTAGACACTGGTGGTTCTAGACAAATTTTGCCAGGTTGGCACGTGTTTGTTTTAATGGGAGCACAGAGCAAAATAGAAAATAAAAATAAAAAAAAGGGTAAAAGTTCATAATTTAATTGATCAATGATCCTTAAAAACAAAAGATCCCATCTAAATAAGTCTATAGCTACATTTGCAACTGCTTGATTTTCAAATCATAGTCAAATAAGCGTGTTAAAAATGTCTTTGGAACAATCAGTAAAATATTTTGTTTTCATATCATCATACAAAAATTATTTGGCGTCATGTCTTCAGTAGAGGGGCCATAACAGGGGCCAGGACCAGTTCTACAGGGGCACAAGCACCTGTTGGCCCCCATCTAGAACCCCCCGTGAACTGAAAAACTAAAAACCATAACTGATTATCTTATTATCTTGTTTTATAACTTATTGAAAACACATTTAGGTGGTTTTGGTTTGGTAGTTTTCTACAGACTCAGTCCTCAGACTCAGGGTCTCAGCTTCAGCACAGACTATTCAAATGATTGCATTTGCAGTGATTAAATTACCTCCTCAGCATCAATCAAATGCTACAGAAGCATGGATTATGCTGCAGTAGATCAAGCTCACAAATACTACTATGTGCATTTATACTGTTATAGTTTTATTTCGAATCTTTTGATAGTGCTTAAATGCATTGGATAATAAAATAAACACTATTCACGGTATATTTTTGCAAGCAGTAACAACACAATAAATTAGGGGTAGAATGACACTGAATTCAGAGGCAAATGGAAAGCAGCCCACTGTGAAAACTTTCTAGAAACGTCCCTCATTTTAGCCTTTTTGCCCACCGAACAAAGATTACTTATTTATGTACCTCAAACAGTTTGTGTAAGACAGAGTTCTCACTCTTATCGTAGCTATAAGCGTTAACGTGCACGTGTTTAAAAATCTCACAGCGTAAGGCGTTGTCTTAATAAACAATCTTTGATTGTGGACAGGAAGAGAGGAGCAGGTGTCACCGGAAGCTGTTAGCTCTGTAAGAAAAAAAGCCCGAAGCTAGTGGCTTTTTAACTGCCGCAACCCAGCGCATCAAATATAAGAGAATATACAGCTCAGCCAGAGTAAGAACTTTGTACATTTTACTTATTTATCAGTCGTTATATGCGTTTTATTCAGAAATTAGCAGCGCAGCGGTGTAAAAATGAAGATATCGTTGGAAACTAGGCGGCTAATTCAGCTAGCAGCGCTTTGTTAGCCCCATAGCGGATTAATTTATTCCTCACATTAGCGCCGAAGTAAGAGATGGATAATATTATAAATAAATATTATCTTAAGAATCAAATAAACGGATGGTTTACATTTTTATATGTTATTAAAAGTCAGGAAATGTTAACAGCATTAGTAAGCGAAGTTTGGCCGCTAATGTCTTTTTTTTAACGCAGTTGCCAGATTTAAGTGATATTTAAACCACGAGATTCGTCACCCATCCTTTCATCTGCATTAATCAATTTGATTAATGAATTAAATTAAACATTTTCTTCCATTTTATTTTTTTATAACTGCTTCATTTGTAAAGCATCTGCCCGTCCTCCCCATTATGAATCTGGTCATCCGTTGCGCGCATCTTTTCACGCATAAATGAGTCCTTAATGTATTCATGCATCTGTTCATCCATTCATAATTCGCTCTGCATGCATATAGGTCCATCTATTTATATTACAGACTGACTTATATAGGGTTTTATGAGGCAGGTACTAGTGATGGTGAGATGAAGCCTCATGTGAAAATGTCACCACCTACTGGTGGAGTGCAGAACTACAGTTAGTAATATAATCAGATTTTTTTTTTTTTTTGCAATAGTTTTTCCTCGTTTTTTTTTCTCCCCCCATATAAGTTCCTTTTGAAATTATTAATGATTGGTGTATATAATAAAATCTTTTGTAAGATTTTTATGTGTGAAATGTCTTAGAAGAGAAAAATCACAGTTTTTCTGCCCTTTTTGATGAAATAAGCTCAAGCAGACAATGAAAGTGCTTGTGCAAATTGGGCATCGGTGAACAAAATGAAATATGTTTTTTTTCCAAACTTAATCGTTTTTCCAGAGTTTTTGGTTTTAATCGGGTAGGAAGTTATGTGTTCAACCATTCTTTTGGTCAAACCAACCAATCTAACTTTGGCAATGTTTTTACCCAATCTGTATTGTACTAGGGGAAACCAATACAAATTAGTCACATTAGCAAAAAAAAAAAAAGGTTTTAACGCAACTTTCAAAAGTCTGAAGTGGGTCTTGATCATCAACCTCAAGACACCGCCAGCAAGATGACAATGAGCCGGAAAGCAATACTACATAAAACTCATTAAATCTGTACCCAGTGGCTCGCTCAGATTTTGATCATTACATTGTTTAATCTAACCAAACTAGTTTTAACCTACTAGATCTGTTGTTTTTCCAACCAATCTATTCTTAGAATCCATCCAAACTCTATCCAGCTGACAGCAGCTCTCCTACAAATTACCACATCTTGACTGAATACTGAGGCTGTTTAAATGGCTGTCGAAGTTCCGGGTGAGCTGAACCCATTCCTGAAGGGGTCACGTGGTATGGCGGGGTAGCGAGGCTTTGGACGTCATCAATTTTGGCTCCTCCCCCAAAGGAAGCAAGCCTCGATACGCGCCTCGTGGAAATGCCCCCCACCTCCTCATCTCGGCTCATCTCATAGCATCACTAGCAGATACCGATTATATGGATTTGTTTCCTCCCCCGCTCACATGATTAAAGTCACACATTAACAGTGTAACTTAGAAAGGGAAACGTATTACAGATAGGGCTGGGTATTGTTCAAAAATTTTCGGTACCGGTACCAATACCGATACCTTCACTTCGATACCGGTTCCTGAACGATACTTTTTTCAATACCAGTTTTATAATATCAATTCGAAGAAAAAGAAAATTACTCAACATAAAAAAGTACAAATCTTGAGTTTTATTTTAAGCTCTGATTTTTCCATTTACATTTTTCCTCTTACATAAAAAAAAATAAAAAATCAGTGTCTAATATTCACTGTTACATTATGAGGACCTTTTTTACTTAGCAGTTTTCCTTTAGAAAAATTACCATGTCTGACAAAGAAGCCCGTTGAATGGGATCCTATTGACAGCGCACCGCTGGTATGTGGGGGTCTGAGCGGCTCCGACAGAAATATTGGAAGGCAGGATGAACTGACTGCACTGATTAAGTTTTCAGGTGGATTTTCCCACTTAAAAACATAATAAAACTACTTTATTCCCACTGATCACAGCAAATATAGCTGCAAGGCAAAGAAAGGATAGAGTAGCTCCGCCCAACGCGCGTCAGAGCCACTTTTCGACCGCGCAGCCAGAGCAGCAAAGCTGCTTCAGCTGCGCGTCAGAAGCTGGTACAAGCAGCAAAAAGGAAGCAGCAGACGCGATTTTGCAGCTCCTGCTGCGTCCAGTTTGAAATTGCAGCATGATTCACTCCGCTCTGGCTTTGCTCTGCCCACGGGCTGCTGAGAGGAGGATGGTCGCGCTGGCTGCGGTCCGCTCTTCTTGCAGTCAAACACCGAGCAACTTTCTGCTCTTAAATTGTTTCCGTCCACGATGTATTGCATTGCGTACTATTAGCATCATTCTTAATAAAGTGAAGCCACACTTTTGACCTGGGGGTCATTTTAAAGGGGTTCCACGACGCTCGCAACCAGTTCACAACAGATACACATGAACCCTGGCTGTAGGCGGGACCACCTGTGTATTTTTCCTGGATGACGCAATCACGTTAAGTGTTACAGCCAATCACCGAAACTTGGNGCTCGCAACCAGTTCACAACAGATACACATGAACCCTGGCTGTAGGCGGGACCACCTGTGTATTTTTCCTGGATGACGCAATCACGTTAAGTGTTACAGCCAATCACCGAAACTTGGTACTGAAAGACGAGGCATGTTTCGATACTCTGTAGAACCGAAGCATTTCGGTCGGTACCATAAAAGAACCGAAGTTCGGTACCCAGCCCTAATTACAGAGTAGGGCTGCAACTAACAAATATTTAGCAAATCGATTATTCTGTGTATTATTTTTCCGACTTATTGATTAACAATTGGATAGCAGAAGACTTTTTATGAAATTAAACCAGGTGAAACTAAAACTAAACTTTTCCACTTGAGTTCTGGAAAGGGCGTTTAAACAGACAGTTTATATTTTATTCCCTCTTAAACAGTGTTGGGCACATTACTTTGAAAAAGTAATTAGTTATAGTTACTAGTTACTTCTCCCAAAAAGTAACTGAGTTAGTAACTGAGTTACTCCACAATAAAAGTAACTAGTTACTAGTAAAAGCAACTTTTGCGAGTGTAAGAAATTAATAACTGGGGATGTCTAATTCTGAAATCCTGTGTTTGGGTTGTTATAGATACTGCAACATGTAGCTATATCTATCTATCTATCTATTCCATCCATCCATCCATCTTTCTCTCTTTCTCCATGTAGGCTAATGATCGTTCACACTCTCCGTAGTTCCCCTGTGGCGCGAGCACAGGGCGGCTGTTACGCGTCTTTAGCGAGCATGCTCGTTTCCTGTCGCTTGCGCGGTGAATCGTGCCGCCTGCGCTGTGCGGAGATGCAGGGGAAACCATATGTGATGGGGAAACGCAGCTCGACGTAACACCGGTATTTCCATCTGGAAAACACTGTTTTGCCGCTGGAGTCCTCCTCACTCTCCATTCCCCCCTCTCTCATGACGTTCGCACAATTCCTATCATGAAAAAAGGTTACCGGTAATTGTGCGACCTGAGTAACGTGCAGTAACGGGGTGTCGGCAATTGTAACTGC